TGACACAGCAGGGCCCCAGTGTGGATCCTGCACAAAAGTCTCATCAGTCGGTGTCACAGCTTTGCCCTTAGCAGTGCTGACTACTTGGGAATTAGTAAAGCTCATAAAACATAAGCGTGGAGACTTGTGCGTAAGTAAGGGTGATGCGTCATCGAGCACTGCTGTCTGAGGCTGTGGCCCGCTGACTCACTTCATGACACATCAAATAATAAAGAGGCTTTAAACTATATTAAACATGGAATGAAGATAACACCCTTAAGAGCTTTCACTGCCAAACACTTAGAATTAGTGTAGTATAGATCTAACCGTCGACTGTCCATGTGTTTACAATCCTTTAGCACTGACATTACATCACTGAATTCTTTCATTTTTATTATTTCATCTTCAAGAATTTCCAGTGATTTTTTAAAAATTTTTTTTATGATCTAGTCTTTTTCTTACCAAAACAGTGGATCAGAATACTCACCAAATTTAATGTGTCATCACGATCCTCAGATTTGCCTATGATTGTTTATGATCAACTGGATTAGATGAAATATCACGCAGTCTAGACCATAAGATTGATTCATAAACAGCAGTTATATTGATGCCAGACATGGATTTTCCTATTGGTCTGTTTATAAGAGTGATTTAATATTTGACTGACTTCAGCTGAGAAAAAGATGACATTATTTTTATGTGATCATATGAATGCAGTGTAAGCCAATACATGTTTAGTTTAGCGGTTTAGTACACCACCCTTTTAACAAATTCAATCAAAAAAATATAATTTCAAATTATGCATTGCCCAAATGAGACACAGTACAAGGTTATATGGAGAGATTTTTAATGTAAAAACATTGATTTTGTCACATTTTACCTATACAACAGACCCTTTTACAAAAGGTAATACTTAATAAATTGCAGAAACAACAAAATTAACCAAAAAAAAAAAAGATTAATTGCAATTATTTCATATATATTTATATAGTAATAAATGTAATATCCAAATACTTGCATATATAAAATAGCACAATTCCTTCATATCTGAGAGTGATCCCTTAAAGAGATGAACAGCTGGCAATTTTCAATCATCTTTTTTCTTAATGCTACTAAATACACAAGGGGAAACACTTGTATAACACTGTCCGAACACTTTTTTTTTTTTTTTTTTTAAGGCACAGTAACACGATTTGGCTTTAAGGCATTCTTTTGGCCCTTTGGGAACCATTACTTACGTAGAACAGATTGTCTCTATGCATGTTTGGTAAGGCATTTGCAATATCAACTACTTATCAAAATAACTTTCTTATGGTCATGGCAACTTTAGAAAAGCAAAAAACATTCATAAACTTATTGCCCATATGTACAGATACAAAACACCTACATAGTACAAACTACCTTAAGTAACTGATAAAAAAAGTTTGCATTTTGACCGAGGTCAACTCGTATGATTCTTAACACTGTCACATATGAAAATAGCTCTGCATAATTTATACAGTAAGATGCTTTTAATGCCTAGTAGACCTTTGTTCAAAAAAATACTAGCAAATAGGTCTGACAAACGCACAGCGTTCGCGAATCTCTGGTTTTAACGTCTCATGCTGCTGTTATTTCGTTTTCTTTTCTTTCGAAGAGGTACTTCTTACTAGGTAATTTTAAGACATAAACCTCATGTGAACTCAACACTTTGGCTGTTTTGAGATGAAATCGAGTGGATTTTCACTGGCCAATGAAACGGGACACCATGCGTCAGAAACGTAAAGCAGGCTTCAATCCTTTCACATCAACGCCATCTCGGTCATCAGCATAGAAGAGCGCAAAAGATGAGTAAGAGAGTTTAGCTTGAGCCAGCTAGCCTGAGAAGCTCCTAATAAACAATCAGACGCCATGTCCTCCGGCGAAGAGGAGAAACGGCGCTTGAATGCCAACATTTTTTCCAGTTGCCAGATTTGCTTTAGAAAAGAGAGTTCAGTCACGACTTGAGAAGATAAACTCGTGTAACCAAGGTGGGTTTAGATAAAATCCAAAGGGAAGCAGGGACTAGGTCCAAAAATATAAACACTGGGTTCACAATTGCATTAAACACACAGGGTGAGTTTACAGTGATTCTTTTCTCGGTCGTTCGCCGAATTATACGTACTAGAGGTGGTCCTTATTTGCTAGAAGGAATTCTGGCCCGTTCTGCACACGCTCTCCTAAACAAACACCAACCGAACATCCTCCAATAAGTAGTACTCCATTTGAAAGAGGATCAGACATTTTTTGCTCCATTTTGGTCAACTTTCTCTTTCTTTTCTAGCTTCTTTCAACATTTGCTTCCTTCTGCTAACTTTTCGGCCAAAATCCCTCCAATTCCAGCTTCCTTTTTTGTCTTCACTTCGAGTGCAGTTCAAGTTTTGGCGTATGGGTGGCGGGGTGAAAGGTGAAGGGTTTTAGTAGTAACTGCCTAGGTGGGAAGGCACATGCGAATTGGTGTGACGCGGCATGCTGGGATTGGGATAAATCCCTCCTGTTGGAGAGCTCCAGTACGGGTTGGTGGGCCCAAAGAAATTGGAGGACGTGACGGGCATGGAGTGAGGATGGGGCGAAACGAAGTTGACCTTCTGCTGGTGAGTGTGGTAGCTTGGCACATAGGGCAGGTCGGTTGGGTATTTGTACATGGTGGACTCGGTGGGATGGGGCTGCAAGGCCTGAGCGATGCCGTGGAAGTCAAACTTGTAGGCGTAACGCTTGCCATGCACTTTGGTCATGATGTTTTTGTCATAGTAGTAGCGCAGGGCGCGGCTTAGTTTGTCGTAGTTCATGTTGGGCTTGCTCTTGCGCTCGCCCCAGCGACGTGCCACCTCGTCGGGGTCCGTCATCTTGAACTCTCCGTTGGTCCCTTCCCAGGTGATGCAGCCGGCGTTGGCGCTGTCGGAGAGGAGCTCGAGCAGGAACTGCCACAGCTGGATCTGACCTGAACCTGGACAAACACACAGAGTTTTACTAGAGTCTAACAATATAGCCTCAAACAGTAAGCATGGTGTTGGCAATGCCAAGGCCATGGGTTCGATTCCCAGGCAAAGTGATAAACTGATAAAATGCGTTCTTTGAATACAATGCAAGTCGCTTTGGATAAAAGCGTCTGCCAAATGCATAAATGGAAAATGGAAATATATCACTACCATTTTTTGGGTTATTGGCTGATATTAGATTATTATTATTTTTTTAATATCAGTACACTGTAAAAAAATGATTTTTCAAAGTTGTAAATAAAACAAAGATTACTGGAGTACATTTTATGAAAAAAAAAATATATATTTCAATCGTTCTACTTAAAGATTTTACATTTAATTCAAAATGTTACTTGGTGATTATTTGTGAAATTTACTAGCAATTTCTGAGCAGTGTTATTTTAGCATAATTGATATACTATTATATACTTTTAATTTGTTTATTTTGATTATGATTTTAATTTTAATTATTTTTTTATTTTTATATTTGCCATTACAATATTGCATATTTATCTTTTTTTGTAATTTTGTTCTGTTTTTGTCATTTTTATTAGATTTTTTATGTCTATTATTGTTTCATTTTTTTTTTTTTGTACTTCAAGTTAAACTAAAAGAAAATGAGATCCCTTGTCAACCTTGAAATGATTTTTTTTCTTTAATTTAACATAACATTTATTTTATCATTTCAAATAATGTTTTTTTTTTTTAGTTTTAGTTTTAATTTTAGTTTGTTAACAAACAGATTTTCTTTTCAGTGTAGAAATAGATTTCATTTGCAGTGATTTAACTAAAAACAAATGTATTTTTTAGCAAAACTAAAAATAAATATCCATTTTTATAAATGATGAATGCCTAAATTCACATTTAAAGTTATTGATTTTAATGTTTAGTGTTTTTTTTTTGTTTGTTTGTTTATTTAGACCAAATTTTATAGAACAGAAATAGTATAGAATCAACCAATTCTTAATTAATGGTCATAACATGAAAATAACATACTGGCCATAATTTTAATGAAATATTAATATTTTAATACAATAAGTCCCTAAATTTAAAAGGGTTTTCTAAAATACAATGCAGCTTAAAAATAGCAAGATTTAATGTTGTTACCTGGGTTGGCAAGTCGACTGCTAGTGGGTCCTAATATCTGGTAAGGATCTGAAAGCAGAGAGAAATTAATCTAGATGTGACCTTTAAACTGGACAAATGCCACAATTTAAAAGTCTTGAACCTGAGTTCCAGACAGTAGCTGAACTGGTCTTTCCAAATGCATAAATATATGTTTTTGAACGCATGCGTGTGCTCGTGGCAGAGCATTCCTGCTTACCGGGCTGAGGCCGAGCCTGTTCACTGTTCTTGGACACGTTCTGAGAGACCACTGTAGGAGAGCCTCAGAAATGGAGAGAAAGAGCACCACAGCAAGAAAGAGAGAGAGAGAGAAAAAAAGCTAAGCACATTCGTCTGGGCGAGCAGACGCACAAGTCTTCATCCAAAGAAAACACGGGCAATAGCTGGCCCAACTGCTAAGCACTTAATGGGCCTCTTCAGTGTCCCTAAACTAAAGACCAGCCATCTCCTGACGCTCAGTATTACTGTCCAGATTAAGGCCTCAGAATCAAACACACTGTCTGACCACTTCAATCAATGACTCTAGATGGACGTCTGACGCTCACCTTTGCCGCTGTGCATGTTGTTTGACCAGCCTGCCCTCCGTACAGCATCATAAGACGCATCTGGAAAGAAGAGAAAGGAATATGAGGGATTTTCGTAACTTGCTATTGTTTTCCCAAAAGCTCAGTGCGCCTTTGGAAAATGTTAATGTTCCTGAGAATTTTTTTTTTGGACTGATTATAGTGGTTTAAATCCCACTCAAAGTCCTTGCCGAAGGAGGCACTTTTCTTAAAGAAACTCTCTCAAACTGTCTGTGTGTGTATGAGACAATGAAGATGTGCTAGAGATGTTCGGCTTGATCTGACAGACTCACATACTCATGCAAGCACACAGAGACACTGAGAAACCTATAATAATGTAGTCAGGATTGCAGTAGAATCTGTTTGGATGTAAGAACAATATGACTCTGTTTTTAGAGATCTCACAGAAACACAGATTGCAAGCACATTTTGAGCACTAAGGTACATAACAGACAAAACAAAACAAAACTAAACTAAACTAAACTAAACTAAACTAAACTAAACTAAACTAAAAGGGTTATTATCGTTAAAACGAAAACCATTAAAAAAATACAAAATTACTAAAACTTAATAAAAATATAATCAAATAAAATTATTATAGAAAATATGTTAATAAAATATAATTCACAATATTACCAAAAACTATACTAGTATATCAATGATAATTATATAACTGGCACTTTTTATTAACAAGTTCCATTATTATTATTGTTATTATTATTGAAACTACATATTATTTTTAATAATAGTTTTTCATATTTTAGATATTAATAGTTATTCTTTTTTTATTTTGTAATTTACTAAACTGTCTTTTAAAATGGCAATCTGAGAAGCATGTGTGCTTCCTCTAAGGGTGTTTTTTTATTTATGTTATTCCAGCTCTGGAAAGGCAACACTGTATCAGTATCCTAGGAAAATGGCCAGTCTCCTTCATTCTCAAACATACTCTTAAAACATTCCCATCATGCCTTGCAGCACTGCAGCGATCCCTCTTTCACGAATGGAAATTAAGCAATGACTGGCACGAATCAAGTCTCTATATGCCCTAGATGGACGTTTGGCCTTTTTTTTACGAAGCGAGTGTTTCCTCTAGGGCTTACAGGGGCTCTGTGTATGACCATATGAGAACGTAAGATACCGGATCAAACCACTAGAGACGACCAAAAAATGTTGGCCCAATGCTAGTATACTGAAATGATGTCTTTGAAAGTAACCTTTGTGGGATGACTGTCTTTAGAGTTAAAGCTTTAGTACACAACTCCAGCTGAACGGAGCCAAAGTGTTTGCAATCGTGACATAACACCGCCCTCTTCTGGTCACTGCACTGGAAATCTCATCCAAGCTTTGGGTGGAACTATGAGACATTAACCTCTGAAGACAAAGACAATGTTTGGTTTGGAAAGTGCTGATAAAACTACATGGCCCACGTTTCAAAATCTAAACAGGACCTGCAGCCAGCGTTTCTCAGCAAAAACAGAATCCAAGAGAAAGGAAGATGCTAATCTCTAAAAGCAGAGAGTGAGAAAGAGCACGACTTTCACTGCTCCTGCTTATTATTAAACCCACAGCCGAACTTTACTGAGAGGACAGAAGCATTACACTACAGACATTACTCTTTATATACAGCATTCAGCACACTGTAAAATAGTTTCAGCTGTGATCTGTTCTGAGGCTTTATATATAAGTATTAATATTATCCAGATCAAAAGAATGAGTCGCCAAAAATAGACAGACAGACAGACAGACAGACAGACAGACAGACGATAGATAGATAGATAGATAGATAGATAGATAAATAGATAGATAGAGATAACCAACCATCCTTCTTAAAACCATCATAAACATGAACTAGGCTAAAAACTGGTCTAGGCTAATGTAGTTTTATTTAATATCTATTCTGCTCTTTTTTAACTTTATCTAGATTAAATTAATAAATCACACACACACACACACACACACACACACACACACACACACACACACACACACAAAATGTACATTTCTCTTTCAA